CACCTTCATGTGCGTGTTTATAACTAACTAAAGGCCCATTAGGATTAGTTAAGAATGTTAAATATAAAACTTTAGCTGAATAAAGTGTAGTAAACATAGCACCTATAGTAGCTACAAAGTAAATAATAATACTAGATAGATAATATTGACCATAAGCAGATTCTAAAATAAAATCTTTAGAATAGAATCCTGTCATAAAAGGTATAGCTACTAAACTTAATGAAGCTATTAACATAACTGAATAAGTTAAAGGTAAAAATGGTCTTAAACCTCCATATTTTCTAAAATCTTGATTATCTGCTACTGCATGAATAACTGAACCAGCACCTAAGAATAATAATGCTTTATAGAAAGCGTGATTTACTAAATGAAATAATGCTAAATTATAACTTGATAAACCTATAGCTATAACCATCATACCTAATTGACTCATAGTAGAATAAGCAATAACTTTTTTAATATCTTGTTGGAATAATCCTATTAAAGAACTAAATACTGTAGTTATAGCACCTAATCATAAACATAATACTAAAACAGTTGAACTATATTCAATTAAAGGAGAAGATCTCATTAATAAATAAACACCAGCTGTAACCATTGTAGCAGCATGTATTAAAGCAGATACTGGTGTAGGACCTTCCATAGCCTGTGGTAATCAAATATGTAAACCTACTTGTGAACTTTTAGCTGTAGCACCTATTAATAAACAAATTCCTATTAAAGTTATAATATTTTCATTATAATAAGGAGCTAATGCAAAAACTGTACTATAATCTATATTACCAAAAGATCATAATATAGCAAACATACCTACAGTTAAGAAACAATCACCTACTCTATTAGTTAAAAAGGCAGATAAAGAACTTTGATTTGCAGCTATTCTAGTAAATCAGAAATTTACTAAAAGATATGAACAAACACCTACACCTTCTCAACCAACAAACATTAATAAATAATTATTTCCTGTTACAAGAATAATCATCATGAAAGTGAATAAACTTAAATAGCTAAAAAATCTTTGATTATGAGGATCATGACTCATATAACTTATTGAGTATATATGTACTAAACTTGATACTATTAATACTGGTATTAACATAGATACTGTTAATGAATCAAATCTAAAGTTTCATAGTACATATAATGATTCTACATCTACTCATCTTGCTACATTTATTGTTACAGGTATATTATTAAAACCTACTTCAATAAATGCTACTATGGCTAATAATGTTGTTGTTATTACTGAAGTACATGTTATTAAATGTGCTCCACTAACTCCAACTTTTCTACCAAAGAAACCTGAAACTATAGAACCTAATAAAGGTAAAATTATTAAAGTTAAATACATTATCTATATTGTATTGAGATACTTCCTCTTAATCTATAGTATGCAACTAAAATTCCTAAACCTATTGCAGATTCTGCTCCTGCTATTGTTAAAATATAAACAGCAAATGTTTGTCCTAAAATGTCATCAAAACTAAGTGAACTAATTAATATTAAGAATGTTATAGATAATAACATAATTTCTATAGAAATTAACATTAGTATTATATTTTTTCTATTTAAAACGAAACCTAATATTCCAATTAGAAATAATAATATTGAAAAATTCATAAAAAAATTTTTTTT